AAATTATTGAGAAAATGGCCACCAAATATTAGTTATTTCCTTACCTTAATAGTCCGTGGTAACTGAACATTTACATTTTTGTGCCTTTAATCAACCTTTTTCAGAAAAATCCACACAGAATTGAGTTCTTTAATGGACATGAAAGGTGCTGAGCCTAAAAAAAAAAAAAATTTAATAAAAATTCACAAACCTGTGGAAAAATTAAGTTTCTTTACTTTGATTATTTTGACGAGAGCCTGATTCCACCACGCTGCCTCACATATAGTGTAGGTGTTTATAGACCCGTGGACACAATTATAAAGGCGTCAAGAGGCAGAGTCAGGAAAAAATAGAATGAGGGGAGCAGGGAAACACTAGAAGACAAAAAGAATAATCTATGCATCAGATGATACTACAAACAACAGAACGATATTTGTGAGAGAGCGTGGTGGAATCAGGCTCTCGTCAAAATAATCGAAGTAAAGAAACTTGCTTTTTTCTGTTGGTTTGTGAATTTTTATCAAATTTTTGTTCTTTGGCTCAACACCTTTCCTGCCTATTAAAGAACTCATTTCTGTGTGAATTTTCTGAAAAACGTTGATTAAAGGCACAAAAAATGGAAATTTTCAGTTACCACGGACTAAAGAAAAGGAAATAACTAATCTTCGGCGGCCATTTTCTCACTAATTTTACCTCTGAAAACAAGTGACCCCCACCTCCTTTCGCAAATATCTCGACTTGTATTTAAGATGAATGGATAATTTTTCATCCAAATAAAGACAGGTGAATAAGCCTTAAAAGATGATACCAATAACGCTACATGCCCAAAAATTGACGAGAGCCTGATTCCACCACGCTGCCTCACATTTGCTTCTTCCCTCGAAACAATACGGTAACAGAGGCAAGAAAAAAAATTTAGGGAATAAAAAGAGCTATTTGGTGATATAAAATACACCTGGCAAATTCAACTAGCAAAGCTTACTGTTAACTCATTGATTAAGCTCGAACTAGTCACTGAACATTGTTAGTAGATGTGCTGTTTTTGGAGGCATTAAAAAAAGGAGCATAAATTCGTTCGTCAAATAATTGAAAGACACATAATGATATATTGACCCTTTCA